CTAAGCTGAGCCCCAGGTCCGGATGCCGCCCCCTCCAAACCCCGGGTGGCCCCGTGGTCGCCCCTCCCTGCGGTGCCGCAGCCTCACCTCGTCCCCGTCCTCGCTCTCCTCCTCGCTGCTGGACTCCGAGGAGTCGCCGCCTTCCTCCGAGGAGTCGCCGTTGTCGTCGTCGTCGTCCTCGTCTTCATCGTCGTCTTCCTCCTCCTCGTCTTCCTCGTCGTCGTCCTCTGACTCCTGCGGGGGTGGGAAGGGGGTGGATGCGGGGACCAGCACCCATGGGTGCAGCACCCGCTCCTTGCATTTGGGTTCCTCCAGCCACTGAGCAGGGCCAGGTGGCTCCCACCCCAAAGCTTTCCCCATTTATGTTAAAAATGGCCCCAAAAAGGCTCCCAGGGGGCGGTGCCAGGGGATGCCTCAGGCTGCAGGGGCCGCAAAATCAGACCTGGGTGGGTTTTTGAGCACAGATTTGGGGAGGGCCCTTGGTTTGTTGTCTCAAGGCAGCAGAAAGCAGCAGAGACACCTCAGGGAAGAGGTCTGGGTGCCCCACAATGCTCCCCCAGGGAGGAGGGTGCTGGGGGTCCCCAGTGTCGTGCACTCACCGACTTGGACTGCATTGTTGGCTTCATCTTGGGGTTGGGGCCCCGGATTTTCCCTATGCTCTTGCGTTTCTGTGAGGGGAGCAACAAAGCAAAACCATTCAGAGCTGCGAGGCTTGAGCTCAGCTCAGAGAAAACCCCACTGCTGAGCTGCTACGGGGGTGAACCCCTTTTTGGGGCTCCCTGTAGCTCAGCCCATCAACCACACACCCCAACCTCACCCCAGGGCTGAGCCAGGCCCAGTTCCAGCCCCCCTGAACCCTCCTGACCAGCAGTGACGGGGGGAACTCACATTGGAAGTGTGCTCCTTGTAGGCAGCGCGCTCCTGTGGCGAGAGGCTCTGCAGAGACAGGGGAGAGGGTGAGGGCACTGTGGGGGGTGGCGTGGGGAAGGAGTAGCAGGGAGCACCCCCCCCAGTCATGTATTTTTTAAAACAATTAAGTTAAAAAATGCCAAAAATGGGTCTGGAGACGGTCCCCAGATGAAGGCTGGGAGTAGAACCAAGCATCCCCAAAACCAGCTCGCCCCAGAGCCCCCTCCAGTATCCGGCACCGGGGCTCGGCGCTCACCTTGAGCCAGATGTCGAGGTGCACCTTGTACTGCTTCTGCTGCTCCTCCGCCAGCTTCTTGTAGTGGTCCTTCTGGCCCTGCGAGATGCGCTGCCAGCGGCCCCATCCGCTCCTTCAGCGGGAGGTGGTTCAGTTCCCCGTTGGACAGCAGCTCCTGGGAGAACTTCTGGTAACCGTTCCTGCGAGGGAAACGGGATCAGATGGGGTGCACGCAGACCCGAGGTGCCCGCAAGCAGCCTGCACTAAGGACCATCCATCCCCAGCGCGGTCCAGCCCGTGGGACTCCTCCACACCAGCCCGATCCAACGCTTTGGACCCCAGGTACTCACATGGGGGGTTTCTTCGGCTCTCCCTGGAACTTCATTTTCTTGGTGGAGTTGGTGGAGCACGGAGGGGCCCGCATCTCGCTCAGCTCCCTCTGAGCCAGAGGAGAAAAGAGGGGTCAGGGAGACGGGGGCAGTGCCGGCCGCGGGGGCACGGCGAGGGCTGGGGAGGAGCAGGGACCCACCTCGTATCGCTTCTGATCCTCCGCCGCTTTCTTGATCCACATCAGCTTCTCCTTCTTCTCCATGTTGTTCCAAGTGGCCTCCATGGCCTTCAGCGCTTTCCCCCGGTCGTTCTGCGGCACAGACCCCCACGCCACGTTAGAAGCACCCAAAACGCCCACAGCACAGCAGGGTGCTACCCCCAGCTCCATAGGGGGGACCCCCCCACTCCCTTGCCAT